TAAATTTAAACAAGTTAAACGTTTTACCTTGAATAAAATCATTTACATGAATAGGGAACCAATAACACTCTTAAATCAAATAGATAGTTTACCTCATTTACATAAATCATCAAAACATTGTCTATAAAATAACTTTTTTATCCAGATGATTTGTGTCAATGATCAATGTCATATGAATAATCAAGGCTCTCCACTACAACCGAAATCGATCATCAACAATATGAAGAAAAAATCAACTATCTTATATGCAATATTCAGTGATAGGGAAGCTTGTATATATATATATATATATATATATATATATATATATATATATATATATATATATATATATATATATACATATATTCAACGTGAAACGGAGAAGGGGGATGTTGTACAATGGAATGAAGATTATGCGGCAGTTATCATTCACCGGTTAGGTCTTTCTACAAGTACCAGTCACTCAAAGACTTACAATCTCATTACTTATCATTACAGTCAAGAAAGTCGCAGTTCAATGCTTTCACTTTCAGTAAAGCAATATCAGATTAAATTAATTGTCCAATACAGCAACTAATTAATAAGCTGAATGTATTTAATGCCATCTAAAGTTGATTATTTCAACAAATGATAGGCATTCATCAACAGCTGCCTACGCTTGCTGAATACTGAAGGTCAAATGGCCAGATTAATAAGAATAAGCAACAAAGAACTTTGGTTGGCTGGCAACAAACCAACCAAGAACCTATCATCTAACAAGAAGAAATTGGAGATGGATTGGGCATACACTGAGAAGGCTAACTGGGAACATCACGCGTCAGATCAGACCGTTGAGTGGAATCTAAAGGGAAAACGACGAGTTGGGCGTTCGAGGCGTGGGTGATATGGAGGAGATGATATGAGGAAGAAATGAAAGCTTGTGGGCAGTCGTGGCGCCAGGTTGAAAAGACTGTAGAGAAGAGAGTGGAATGGAGGCGTGCTACTGAAGCCCTATATTCCACTAGGAACCCAAGGGAAAGACAATAGAAGTTGATTATATATATTTAGCAACTAAGAATATGAGGCTTAAGTAACCTTGTAGCTCAGTGACTTCCAGCAATCTCCGGCTAAGAGATAGGACTCTGTTTATGATATAAACTAGTGACTTCAGCATGGGAAACTAATAAGTACCCTAGTATTTTGCATCTACTGAAACAAAACAGTTTTAAAAAAAATCAAGAATGTCATTCCAAAGGATGAGTTATGTACAGATGGTATCAACTGAACAGTTATCTTTCTAATGATATTCAGTATTCGTAGTCCACGTTGATATTTGTCATGGATTGACATCAGCTAGAGAAGCATTATAAACCTGAGATCACTAGACAGTTGTTTCTTCTGAGTATGGGACTCCCCAGCAGTGTGAGCATCTATAATCCTACCAAGGATCGAACCCAGGACATTAAAGTTTTGCAACCAGCGCTTTGCCACTGAATAATAGGATTGAGATCTAATGGTCCATATTTCCTTCTTCAGATGGGTCACGGTGCAGTATGACGTTCATCAAATGCCTTTGTTGCGAAATTCGCCACAATTCTGAGTTGGGTGGCTCCATCGGCCCTGGATTCGATCCCTTGTATGGTCATATGTGAGTGCTTTTGAAGAATCCCTTGTTAGGATGAAACAGCTGTCGAGTGCTCCTAGCTTTCTAGTGTTTCTTCAACTGATGTCAGTCCATGATGAATACCAACCTGAAGTCAATAAATAAATCCCCACAAACCTCCAAAGTGAATTTATAGCTCGGTTGTCACCAGCAGGTAAAATCAATCTTGATTACTGATAGCTTAATTAAGGAAACAATTGATGGTACACAAGCTTTACTGTAAACGTTTCACTCACTGTAATCTCATAGTGATTTCTAAAAAGATCATGAATGAAATTTAAGCCGGATGCTTAGAAGAATAATTGTATATGGACTACTTTTGCATGAGAACAATTATGAAATCTATTTTTACTTATATTTACCTAAGATTTACGCTTGTTTGTTTTATTGGATTAAAAAGATTATTCTCCTTTGGCATTGAGATATACCCCGATTTTATGTTGATGCTAAACACCCATTGATACTAGTGGTGGGATCAAGGAAGCTGATTTTGTCTTCTTTTTACTCAGCAAATAGATAAGCCGGCATAACAATAGGTAACGATATTCACACTATCATCTTGAATTTCACTAATAACCACAGTCAAGAGATAAGACAAACCCAAACACTTAAATGTCCATTTGATTACATAAGAAAGACATAACATATGTGAACACCGCTTATTTTTATTATTGAAACACTGTGTAATGGTTTCAGTCAGATAGCCTTCTGTTGTGTATAAAAGTTTATCTTTTGAATTATTAAATAATTCCATTTCATCACACCTTCCACAGTTACATTCAACAGTAGTCTTTTACCATTTCTGACACCAGAAACAGTTATAAAAACATATCCTATGTTTACTTCTCATTGATCAAATCAATGAATTTTGATATTATTGATGGATAGTGGCTGACAATGGAATCTGGGATGCGTGTTTCGTTCTTTAAGGGACTCGTCAGCTAGATCTGCCTAATTTGCAGCAAGTGGTGTTGTTCTCACTAAGACTGGAATACGGAACCGCTCGCTTCAAACACCCAAGAGTTATTCACTAGGCTACCAAGTCACGATAGACATTTCTTATGCGATGGGTATAGTTTATATGATGTTGCTTCTATTATACCGTCGTTGATTGGATCAAATTTATCGGTCTCTGTTGCGATATGGGTTCCTGCACAGATGATTCAACATCGCCAGTCATTTCAAAAAGGATAGACCACGCATCCTGAATCTCATTGCTAGCCAACATACATATCAAGACTAGAACAATAGGCAACATTGAGGCATCCATGCAGGAGCCCATATGCAAACAGAGACCGATCAATTAGGTCCAACCAATGACAGGATAATATAAGTAGCATCGGATAAATTCAATAATCTTTTACTTAAAGTTGAAAAGATCTTACTTTCGTGGAGATTTCCATAAAATTAGAGATCAACATAAATAACTGACCGCTTGAAACTAATTCTCTGAAGTATACTAGGTAACATGCATTGAAAACCATTACTAAGAAATTAAATCGACGTCCACTACCATTTACTGTATAGAGATAACTTCCTCTTGCTAAAGAATCCTACGTGCTATTGGACACGATCATTTTCATCTGATGACCTTCTTTTATCAGACTGGTATACTTTTCTAGAAATAAACTGACATAACTTGAGACTAGCCTGAAAGTAGTTGATGATGGCTTTCCTATCCCCTACTCTTTCAGATTAAATCTCTGAAGTTCACTTTTATTGATCTTATCCTAGAGACAATAGTTTTGACTACTCATGAAATGGACATTAAAAAAAACCGGTTGATAAATTCTAGACAGCATGAAAGAGATTTTCTCAATATGGTGAACGTTTGAGTATCTATGCAAGAAAATTACCACTATTTTACAGGTTATTGATGCCACATTAGAAAACTAGTTAAGTTTTCACACAACCAATTATTCAAGTTATTCATTGAATTGTATACAATAGAAATGTAAATTGAAACAGTGTACAATCTTGCCAAATTTGACAACTGGAACAAACTATACAACTGACAAATGATGCTGAACAATCTGAAATCCTACTAGAAAACTGTTTTACAGAGAAGTGTTTGAATTCTTCTATCTTCCTTTAAAATTATTTTCATTCATCATTGGTCAACAGTGTGCTATTAACCTACTTTCTGCTTTGTTCAGATTTTTTTTTAAGGAATATGTTTAAAATATGATAAAAATTGTGACTGTGCATGAAAATTTATTGATCACTTTTGAACAGTCAAATAACTGCAAGCTAGACAGACAAAACAACCTTTATTGATTAATTTATCTATAAGTTCTGCAGTAGAAAAAGTTTTCTTCATTTGGTCTGATGAAGATATTTCTGGTTGGTTGGTTACCAATATTAGTAAACAAAAATTCCAGTGTGTTACTTATCAAAGTTCAACAAAATCATTGAAGCAAGCCAAGTCCGAATATTGATTTTGTAAATATACAAACATGTCAACCTAATGCTTGATAGAATTAAATATCTATGAATGGAAAAAAAAAACCAGAAATGATGTTTTGATGCTTTACTGCCTTTCATCGATTGAGGCATAACAGATTTTAGCTAGTCTAAACCTTACTGTTTACTTCAGTGTTTCATAACGTTTGGATTAATGATAATCCATTTGGTTGGGAGTCAAACTATCACCGTAAAAATGAGAATAGAGTGTACGTCACCTGAATAGTCAGTTTTATAAGTTTTGATAAGACGGAATCGATCGATCACAACTAGAATAAATTTCATTCTGTATTAAACTGTTAAACACTACCCATCATTACTATTCGACTGAAACTGCTGGCAATATTTTGGTATCCGTGCAGGAGCCATATGTTGATAGTGAACCATCAACTTAGTTCATTCGACAGTAGGAAGTCGCAAGTCAAAACATAAAAACTATACCTGTCGTACAACGTGTAGCTATTGTGACTTAGTAACTCAGTGGAAAAAGCTCTGATGCTAGAAGTGATCGTTCCTGGGTTCCAGTCCAAGTGGATACAACATCAATCACTACGAGTCATTACTAGGAGGAACCACGTGTCCTGAGTTGTACTGCTAGCCACTATTCCTCATTGCCTTCAAATACTGGGTGTAGAGAAATCCATTGGCCGAAACTATTCTATCACATTCTATACATGATAAGTCTTCACTAGAATTTATGAGATGGATATTATGCAGGAGCTGATGTCCTTGAGAAGACGTAAACATGAAGGTATCTGCCTCATATGTAAAAATTGATGCAGACCTGCCATACCTTAACAATTATTGACCAGCAAGGGTCTGAAAAGTGGCAAATCCGCCTGAAGTATTCACACTACGTACAAAAATAACAAACGTGCGTACAGGTATATGTCAAAGAAGGCGAATCACTTACAATGCATCTATTTTGAAACATTGCCTTGAATACTGGTGAATATATAGACAGAATAGCACGATGGCAATGTAGATTTCTACCTTGAACAACGAGAACAGCATCACTAAATAGAAATGGACTGGTAAAATCTAATACATCACGTTCCTCTTTTTGTATCTCTTGATCTTCACCATCACAACTGGGAAAGTGAAAAGAAAAAGAAAGATATGTTGAGGTACTATTCCTATTTCCCATTACTCAACTAAAGATTACTCTATATTCAGTAATGACTCACAAATGTTGTTTTTTAATTAAAACGTTTTAAAAGATAATGAACATTGACTTGCAATACTAATTTTCAGTATAAACTTGCTGTGTTCTCATTCTACCCTTAGTTTTATTATACAATTGATTGACTAGCAAACAGCCTTCATAACAAAATAATAATTGGTTATTATTTAGTCCAGCTTCATGAAGCACTAAACAGCTGGGTTTTTTAATATACACTTTGTCCTCTATTTGAGTCCAAAATGCGAACTGTAGTTCAAATGATGAACTGCATTTGCCCTAAAATCCACAAGAAAGTTAAATATAACACTTTAGCTTCTGCGGTACATTGTGTCATCATCTTAGATTGCTTAAGAGTATTCATTCCCACTCAATCCATGTCAATGAATAAAAATCTATTTACAATCGTAAAAGATAAGGTTATATAGTCACCACTAAGTATGTAATGCGTAGGCGTCAAAAGATCATTAAGACTACGTTCTTCTGTGATACAAAACTGTTCTCAATAGGCATGTTGTAAGCTGAATCATTCATTGTCAATTCATATAGTTAAACTAAAACATACATTTTTATTTCAAAAACTCTTCACTCCATCATTTAAAAGTTATGACCAACTTTTTATACTGTTACGACACTACACATCTTATTTACATATTACTGTCAACAATCAAGTAATTCCATGGAACCTCCAACATAAGGATGAAACTGCTATCCAGTGCTCCAACTGATGTCATTCCATAAATAATTCTAACCTCGAATCAGTTAACAAATCTCTACAAACCTCCAGATAGAATTAGCCAAATTGAGCATGAGGACAGTTACTCAACGATGACATTGGATGAAGGTGGCGCTATATCGTGAACTAACAGAACTAGGATATATACATCACTAAATTCCGACCTAGTGGTTCAGTGGTGATATGCTTGCCACGAAACCTGAAGGTCGGGTATTCGATCCATGGAGGGTGGGATCATGAGTATATACTGCTGAGCAATTTCATACTAGGACGAAAACGCTGCTCAGTGTTCCCAGGTTTTTAATGTTCCTTCAACTGATGTCAGTCCATGATGATGTATGCTGGGCGTAAAATGAACAAGTTCCATCGTCGAATTTCTAAACACCATCCATCATGGTTGAACAAGGCACAAATTACAACTATAGAGAGCTCCACACTTCAACACCTAGTTGACACAGGACATCAAGTAGATACTAGAAAAGCCTTCAAAATCATTTATCAAATTCCAATTAATTTATCACATGGATTACGCACTCCGTCACTTCACATAGCAGAAGCCATTACAATCCACCTTCACAAACCTAGCCACTGTATTCCAACGAAGTTTGTTCAACCACTTTCATTTCCCTGACAGTTAACATGATATCACCCATAGGATTACTTTGTACACATCTTCCCCTTCTTCTTCTTCCAATCTTTATTCATCATTTCTAAAACATCACTGTGTGATTGGTAATTTGATTAAATTGTAAAACTTCATATCAGTGTAGAGCTCAAGATGAAGATCTAATTGGAAAGGAATATATTTCGTCACTTAAGGAGTATTTTCCCACATATCTAAATGTCTAAATGGGAATATTCAATGCCCAATCGCTAATTCCTTTAGGCTTACTCACCAGTATGATTTAAAACACATTCTCCACACCAGTCGATCATATTCATTCTCTGTTTCAATTTTAGCAACCAATACAAAGGTTGTCTATTGATTAAAAGTATACTCTAGGTATTAAACGAGAGAGATGAACTATGTATGAATGTTTCCATTCATCATTACACATCTGAATTTCTCTCATCACAATACACTATCAGTCTATCACTATTCCACCCATAGTAATCAATATATTTATATCGACTCACCTATTCACCTACACAAGCACAAATAACACTATACATAATTCTCATCAGTCAACAAATGTATACACCCCTAATAGCAATGACAGCCATCTAATAATCAAGGTAATGTTAAGGTCAAGTAGAATAAGAATGATTGTTCTTTGTGAAGAGGCCAGTACTTCAATGTTTGTGTATAATGCTCAGTGTATAATATAGTATCATGGATAAGATTGTAAGTACACAAAGTGCAGTAATATGTGGTTTGAAGTTGCAAATTAGTATTGAATAACTAACAGTGTGAATAATCTTCAATGTTAAAATAACTGAGAGGATATTTCAACAGTAAAAATGTGTGTATGCAAGTGTGTTCTGTGTGGTGGAGTTACGTGGAATAGGTGAATACAAGAGTTTAAGGAAAATATTGAAGTAGAGTTTGAGGTGATGTGACAATAAGGATGAGATGTTGAAATTGGTGTGATTCCATTGATATGATGGGATATGAGGGGTAATAATTAATGCTCGAAATGTCATCGAGTAGATAATACTGTATGATTGTGTGTTATAAATCAAATATGACTAAGTATTTTGGCAGAAATTATATGTTGTGTAGTGGTTATGCTCACCAGCACCATATTGTGGTAAATCATTTTATAAGTGGAGAGTAAAGATACGATTTTATCTTGTATAGTTATGATATTTGCCTCTAATGCAAGAAGGGTGAATTTCTGTTGACAGCTTTTAACCGGAAATGAAAATACAATGCTAGAAGACTCTGACTTCAACAAAAACAACCACTACTACTACTACTCATATCAGTACTACTACTACTACTACTACTATTACTACGACTTCTACTACTACTCACACTATTACTACTTCTACTTCTCCTTCCACGGTTCATTTTCGTTTTTGAATCTTCTGGTAACTATACAATACTCATTTACACAAATTCAATTTCAGAATGTTTCACATCTATTCCTTCCAAGGTCTGGTTTCACTTGTCTCTCCTTTCTATTTGTCCAAAGGTAGACTTGACGTCTACCTTTCCAAGTAAATGATCCACATATTTCTGAACATAAAATAATCGCTGCTGTTTTTGACCTCTTTTAAGATCGTGTAATAAGTGAACTTGGATATTCTGTGAAGGATGAGAATTAAGTTCTGGGGAGAAAATGGAATGATGTTGAGGCATATACGAGTAGCCTGTTTTTGTGCAATGCATAAATTAAAGTTCCAGTTTATTAAAGTCTTTATTCATAAAATTTTGTTAGTTTGATAACACGGAAAGTGAAATTGATTTACTTTTATCTGTTGTTTTACTCTTACCAGCCTACTCTATAATTGCTCATCTTTTCGAAATGATAAACGCAGTTTTAATTAACAGTACTTTGAGGTTCACCAATTTGAATACTGATCTTTTAATTTATTTATACTGGGTGATGACTGAATATGAATTGAAAATTCGAACCTCAGCTGGATTGGTATGAGTGACCAGTTGGTTTCCAGCACGATGTTCTACCAAAACGATCTCGTAGGACAGTTGGTACTGCATCCAGCCGAAAACCCAATGGTTTCTCATTCGAATCTGGCCATTGTGCAAATTTTCATTTCATCTTCAACCATCACCAAGTATAAATACTAGTCTGGCAAATCATGACTATTTTAGATAGTCAAAATGATTTTAATTCATTGTCTAGTCTATTCCAGTCTAGTCTTAAATCTTTACTAAACACTTCCATGTAGAAGAAAGCTTTGTGACCAATAATTTTCTGTTTATTCAAGTGTTAAACTTGTGTTTATTCAGTAGTCTCTTTTTGTGTCCAACTACATATTTCGATTTTATTTCAGTCTAACACAAGCACTTTGAATGCATTCGTTAGGTTGCTCTTATTTTGTGTCAAAGTGAAAAATAAACTATAATGTAATATTTAAATCCATCACAAAACTTTTCTGATCGCTTTTTTTCCTAACTTTACGGTACATTTGAGTTACACAGTAGCATATACTAATGTATGCAGGTCTATTTCACTATCTGATTGTAGATGCGCTTGTAACGCTTTTTAATATATTTGTCAGTAAACGGGAGTAATAAAAACTTGAGAATGAATTCTGTTTTGCTCATTCTACTGAGACATTTGTTTCTATCGAATAATGTTTCAAAATCTGAACGAGCCTATTCATGAAAGAATAATGGAGGACTCTAAAGACCAAGTCAATTCACCTCACTGCTGTGTCACATACTTATTAGAGTTAAACTTGACCACTGTGGTAGATTGTAATCCTGTTTTAGTACTTTTCAGAAATATAACATAGTGAAACAGTATCATTCACTGGATAACGTTTCGGACATAATTTATTGTCCATATTCATATCAGGTAACTCCATAACATCGAAACAGAGTTTATGTAGTCCTAATTTTCTCTTCTTTGTGGAAAGCGTGGCGAAATTTTCCATATATCTGAGATAGGTTCAGAACCATTCTCACTACACATATTTGCTGTTAATTCCATAAACAGACATTCGGTTATCAATCTCTCCCTTCCCCTAACGAAGTTAGTTTTTAATACTGTCACTCATCTCACCCTATTGTGTGATTGTGTGATAATATAATAATCTTGATTTAGCTAAGCTTCCGCTCTTTGTTACTTTAATTGACTCTGGTTAACTACTTTAACTTATATATTTAATCTCGCAAACATTGTCAGGAATTCGGTAAACCAAATTATTCTCCCTAATTGGATAGGCAGGATCCTGCAAAGTTTGATTCTGAGTTTATTGGTTGAATGCTACTCTAAATCCAGCATTGTTGAGAATTCTTCGTAACGCTTCTTAGGTGCCTTCTTTGTATAGTAACATAGTAGAGGCTTTGAATTCTCTCTCAATCCTGTTACTACCAATACCAGTATTACTACAATTATTATTAATATTATTATCAAGAGTGACAAAATATGGGCAGTAATAACATATGTGCTATTAATAATAATTCCACTTATAATTGTAATGATGGTAACAGAGTTGAGAGAGAATTCAAAGCCTCCGCTGTGTTGTTGTACAAAAAAGGC